TGTGGATCAGTGAACGTCGCTGGTTGCAGACTGAGACAATCCACCTGTTTCTTATAGAAGTCCAGTTCAGCAGCAGTGAGCTCCCTTCTCCTACTGTAGAGCGTTAGAGAGGTGTAGAGCTTCCCATCCTCAGCCCATCTCTCCAGGGTCAGGAGGCAGTCTGGGCATGTTGTCAGGAGGACCTCAGAAACAGGGATGGGGATCACTGAAGTCCATGTGCTATTGTCATGCAGAGTAAAGTTAGAGTCGATCCTGAAGCATTCGATTCCAAAAGCATTTTGATGTGGAATTCCAACGCCATAGAACTTGGCGATGTCAAGAATGTTGTTCTGGGTACCGACCGGCACAGAGACCTCTATCCAGGCACTGTGTAATAAGGTATACAGTATTTGCTCCCAGGAAGGACGGTCAGAACTCTCAGCAATATACACCCACTTCCCAAGGGTCTGCAAGATAGAAAGGCAGATAGACAATAACTGGGCTAGCTGACACAAACAACCATATCTCCCTAACCATGGGTGGACAGACGACAGACAGACGGACAGACAAACACAGACGGACGGACAGGCGGAATGACAGACGGATGACGGACAGACAGACAGACGACGGACCGACAGACAGACGACGGACAGACAGACACACGGACACACGGACAGACAGACGGACAGGCAGATGGACAGACAGACAGACAGTACAGTTCAGTAGATAGTACCTGATTGACACCGCTCAGCTCCAGTGGTCTTAGGAGATCCTCACAGGTTAAAGGGGCCGCCTGGGAGCCACTCACTGAGAGAAGGCCCAGGACAACAGCGACACACACCGCCAGCATCATATCTCAGTACGTCTCCCTCAATATAATGTATCTCCCTGTGTCTCTGTACAGTAAGTCTGTCTCACTATGCCTGTTGATGTTTCAATGATGCCAAGGATAGTTCCAGTCTTTTATATGATCTAATATTTGCTCTCCTGTGCCTTTCATGGTACAACAGATCAGATTTCAGGGACATTTGCTGTTTGTACTGTCTGGCAGAGGAGGCTGGTATGAGGAGCTATAGGAGAACAGGCTCATTATAATGGCTGGAATGGAATAATTGGAACGGTATCAAACACATCAAGCATATGGAAACCATGTTTGACTCCGTTCCATTCATTACATTCCAGCCATTACAATGAGGCCATCCTCCTATAGCTCCTCCCACAAGCCCCCTCTGCTGTCTGGGTTCACAGTTCCACCACTGTTGCTAAATCTAAACAAGACAAAGTCCCATTCCTAATCTCGTGTGGACAGACTACATAACATAAAATGAGTATCTGACGCAATTACGCAACATTTTAGTTTTGGGTTTCCGAGATGAATTCCTAAACAAAACCTGAACTCAAGGGTCAACATAACATACTGTTTGTAAAAACAACCTGAACTCAGGGGTTGATGTAACACACTGACTGTAAAAACAACCTGAACTCAGGGGCCAACGTAACATACTGACTGTAAAAACAACCTGAACTCAGGGGTTGATGTAACATACTGACTGTAAAAACAACCTGAACTCAGTGGTCAACATAACATACTGTTTGTAAAAACAACCTGAACTCAGGGGTTGATGTAACATACTGACTGTAAAAACAACCTGAACTCAGGGGCCAATGTAACATACTGACTGTAAAAACAACCTGAACTCAGGGGTTGATGTAACATACTGACTGTAAAAACAACCTGAACTCAGGGGTCAACATAACATACTGACTGTAAAAACAACCTGAACTCAGGGGTCGATGTAACATACTGACTGTAAAAACAACCTGAACTCAGGGGTCAACGTAACATACTGACTGTAAAAACAACTTGAACTCAGTGGTCAACATAACATACTGACTGTAAAAACATCCTGAACTCAGGGGTCGATGTAACATACTGACTGTAAAACAACCTGAACTCAGGGGTCGATGTAACATACTGACTGTAAAAACAACCTGAACTCAGGGGTCAACGTAACATATTGACTGTAAAAACAACTTGAACTCAGTGGTCAACATAACATACTGACTGTAAAAACATCCTGAACTCAGGGGTCGATGTAACATACTGACTGTAAAAACAACCTGAACTCAGGGGTCAATGTAACATACTGACTGTAAAAACAACCTGAACTCAGGGGTCAACGTAACATACTGATTGTAAAAACAACTTGAACTCAGTGGTCAACACAACATACTGTTTGTAAAAACAACCTGAACTCAGGGGTCGATGTAACATACTGACTGTAAAAACAACCTGAACTCAGGGGTTGATGTAACATACTGACTGTAAAAACAACCTGAACTCAGGGGTCAACATAACATACTGACTGTAAAAACAACCTGAACTCAGGGGTCGATGTAACATACTGACTGTAAAAACAACCTGAACTCAGGGGTCAACGTAACATACTGACTGTAAAAACAACTTGAACTCAGTGGTCAACATAACATACTGACTGTAAAAACATCCTGAACTCAGGGGTCGATGTAACATACTGACTGTAAAACAACCTGAACTCAGGGGTCGATGTAACGTACTGACTGTAAAAACAACCTGAACTCAGGGGCCAACGTAACATACTGACTGTAAAAACAACCTGAACTCAGGGGTCAATGTAACATACTGACTGTAAAAACAACCTGAACTCAGGGGTCAACGTAACATACTGACTGTAAAAACAACCTGAACTCAGGGGTCGATGTAACATACTGACTGTAAAAACAACCTGAACTCAGGGGTCAATGTAACATACTGACTGTAAAAACAACCTGAACTCAGGGGTCAACGTAACATACTGACTGTAAAAACAACCTGAACTCAGGGGTCAACGTAACATACTGACTGTAAAAACAACCTGAACTCAGGGGTCAACGTAACATACTGACTGTAAAAACAATAATATGGCCTTTAACAAGTTTATTTGCTGGGTATGTGGCTAGACTATGAGGTTAGTCTGTAGACCAACACCCAGTGGGTTTTGTTAACCAGATGGTATGAAACCATAGTGGTAAACCCTACTTCTGTTACGAGAAACAGGAAGTTGTGTCGGGACAGAGCTCTTTCTGTGGATCCATGAACGTCTCTGGTGGCAGACTGAGACAAGTTACCTGTTTCTTATAGAAGTCCAGTTCAGCAGCAGTGAGCTCCCTTCTCCTACTGAAGAGCTTTAGAGCGGTGTAGGGCTTCCCATCCTCAGCCCATCTCTCCAGGGTCAAGAGGCAGTCTGGGCACGTTGTTAGGAGGACCTCAGAAACAGGGAAGGGGATCACTGAAGTCCATGTGTTATTGTCATGCAGAGTAAAGTTAGAGTTGATCCTAAAGCATCAGCGTCCTCTGATCCGGAATACCAAAGCCATAGAAGTCAACGACATCGACCGGCACAGAGACCTCTATCCAGGCACTGTGTAATAAGGTATTCAGTATTTGCTCACAGGAAGGACGGCCTGAACTCTCAGCAATATACACCCACTTCCCAAGAGTCTGCAAGATGGAAAGGCAGATAGACAGAATAACTGGGCTAGCTGACACAAACAACCATGTCTCCCAAACCATGGGTGGACAGACCGACAGACAGACGGACGGACGGACTGACAGATGGACAGACGGACAAGGGGACGGACAGACGGAGAAGCGGACGGACAGACGGAGAAGCTGACGGACAGACGGGCAGGCGGACAGACTGATAGCTCTGCTGTTTGCTCTCCTCATGACACAACAGGTCAGGTTCCAGGAACATTTGCTGTTTGCACCATCTGGGTTTCCAGTTCTACAACTGTTGCTAAATCTAAACAAGGCAAAGTCCCATTCCTAATCTCTTGTGGACAGACTACGTTACATAAATCGAGTATCTGACGCAATTATGCAAGATTTTTGTTCTGGGTTTCCGAGATGAACCCGTTCCTAAACAGTAAACACAGAGTGCTGTTGTTTCCAGCAGGTGACAGTAAAACTTTATTAAACTTCTACAGAACTTCATTGTATTGACAAAACTGTATTACATTGAATGAAAACGGCTTTTCAGATATCCCATAGCGCCTTTATGGAAGTCTTAAGTCTTGTATGTGACCGTCTTGATCTGGTGTAGCACTTGTAATTCCAAGTCTAACATCCCAGTATTCTAAAGTGTAACATCCCAGCATTCTAAAGTCTAACATACCAGTATTCTAAAGTCTAACATCCCAGCATTCTAAAGTTTAACATCCCAGTATTCTAAAGTCTAATATCCCAGTATTCTAAAGTCTAACATCCCAGCATTCTAAAGTCTAACATCCCAGCATTCTAAAGTCTAACATCCCAGCATTCTAAAGTATAACATCCCAGTATTCTAAAGTCTAACATCCCAGTATTCTAAAGTCTAACATCCCAGCATTCTAAAGTATAACATACCAGTATTCTAAAGTCTAACATCCCAGTATTCTAACGTCTAATATCCCAGTATTCTAAAGTCTAACATCCCAGCATTTTAAAGTCTAACATCCCAGTATTCTAAAGTCTAACATCCCAGCATTCTAAAGTATAACATCCCAGCATTCTAAAGTCTAACATCCCAGTATTCTAAAGTCTAACACCCCAGCATTCTAAAGTATAACATCCCAGTATTATAAAGTCTAACATCCCAGTATTCTAAAGTCTAACATCCCAGCATTCTAAAGTCTAACATCCCAGTATTCTAAAGTCTAACATCCCAGCATTCTAAAGTCTAATATCCCAGCATTCTAAAGTCTAACATCCCAGTATTCTAAAGTCTAACATCCCAGTATTCTAAAGTCTAACATCCCAGTATTCTAAAGTCTAACATCCCAGTATTCTAAAGTCTAACATCCCAGTATTCTAAAGTCTAACATCCCAGCATTCTAAAGTCTAACATCCCAGCATTCTAAAGTATAACATCCCAGTATTCTATACCATGCTGTTACACTCTAATAAAAAGCAAAAAAAAAAAAAATCCCTGCATGGTGTTGTCTCCACGGGGTGATTCAGG